GCTGAAGTTGGAGCAGAATGTAAAATGAGTTGCTGAGACAAAGCTTGAACTAAGTTGCTAGAGCTGAGAAAGAGTTTGAGTTGAGTTACTGAGTCTAGGCCAAAGCAGTAGATGAGTTTCTGAAAGAACCTTGAGCTGAGTTGGTGAAGCTTGCAGAAAGCTAGAGCCAAGTTGCATAGGTTGAAATACTTCTTGAGCTGGAGCTGGACTAGACCTGGAGCTAAGGCCAAAGCAGAGCTGTAGCTAAGTATGAAGTAGAGTTGTACCGAGGTTGGAGTGTATTTGGAGCTGAAGCTGGAGCAAAGTTGGAGCTAAGATTGAAGTAGAGCTGTACTGAGACAGGCATAGAGCTGGAGCTAAGGCTAGCATAGAGATAAAGCTGAGGTGGGCATACAGTTGGAAACTTCAACCACGGGCACTGAGGCCTTGTCTCCCCTTTGGTGTTTCAGTTTCTCTGGCATTTTGCTCTCTTTTTTCCTCACAAGATCATCCTTTCTGTGGTATGCTGTCTGTGAACACTGTTCCCTGGCTGACATAGTGGAAGCAAACTCTTAAAAAATATTAATGGTCAACTGACATTTTATGAGAATGAAGGACTACTGAATGTGCTAATTTGCCCACTCCCACTATGACTACCCTTTAGCTAAGGCCTGTCCCTTGTTGAAGTGGTGTCATGGCTGGTGTAAAGAGCTGCATGATGACCTTATATCAAAGGAGAAAGATATGAGTTGCCATTCTTTTTCCCAATAGTGAGAGATGAGGTCATGCATAAATCTACCCTTCATATTCGAGTTCCACGCATTTTTTTTGCTTTTTTACCCTTCAGGCCATGTTCACTTTCTCATTTGTATTCTCTCCCAGTGAAAAATAAGCAGTTGTTTCTCCTTTCCCCTCCAGCTCTCAGCTATATTCTCGCTATGTGTCCCCTCTCCTCTCTCCATGATCATTTACTACTCTGCCTCCTCCTTACCAGCCCAAACGCATCATCTCCTTTGCTCCCCAGTCATGTTCTACCCCACTCTGTCTATTTTATATGGTCAGATTTTGATAAACTTTATCTTTCCTCTGCCTATGACCAGATCACACTGCCTTGTACCTGCTCCCCCTTGGTCCATGGTCATCACCTTCTTCTGTCCCTGATGAGCTCACTTCAATATCTCACTCATGATCATCTGCTTACTGCCCTCCCTCTCTTCACTCCCAGCCAGCTAACAATCTGCAATCATGTACCCCCGCCTCCCCTCCCCCCCATGTTCAGACACCTTTCTGCCTCTCTTTCTTACTTTGAGGTCCATGATAGCACATTTGGCAGTATGATGCATGTCTAGCTAATATATTGTTCATTTGGGGAGTAACACAGTGTGTGTTGGTTCACTCATAATCCAAAAAACATTCAGTCTAAATGAATAGGCACACATATGCTAGTAAAAAAGGATTCACTACAGATGTATCCTAAAGCTGAACTTCAGGTATGATCTTTGTTGCATACCTACATTGGTCCAGCTTGGACTAATGTAAGTATGCATATCTCTTACCTGAGGGGCACTGGAAAAGCTGACAATCACTGTAGTATTTACCTACAATGATAACTGTGAAACTGTGATCTTTCGGGTCCTGTGTAAGCAGCTTCTCATCTGCACACTGATCACAGGACCCTTGGCACTACCACCATTCATAAAGCTTGTATTTTTTCAATGAATATAAAGTGTTCTCCAACTGGGCAAGGTGGAGATTGTGGCATCACCATCCATCCTCTACACCTTATCCAGTCAATGAAAGCCTTGTATTCGTTGAAAAAATACAAGGAGTTCTATGAATGGTGGTAGTGTTGGGGAGAGCTACCCCCTATGCTTAGTGTGCAGACATAGAAGCAGCTTACACAGAATCCGAGTGGAATCTGGAAGATCACTGCTGTCACTATAATAATCACTACTACAGTGACTGTCAGCTTTCCCAGTGGCCACTCCTGTGTGAGATATGCATATTTACATTGGTGCATTACATTGGTACTTAAATTATAATTGTCTCTAAAATTCTGCATTTTCCTTTTTTTTTAAATCCTTTTCTTATTTTGCCACTCTCATTTTAGCTACTTTTTGTCCACATAAAGCATCTTCTGCACACTTGGACCAGGCTGTTGACAGTGAAAACGGTGAGCAATTGCTTACAAATGTAGCCAACATAACTCTAAAGCAGACTTCTCTTTTTACACCAGGAGAACCCCTAATATTACTTTTGGGTGTTAGAGAAAAAAACTCATTGGGGCTCAATGGGAAAAAGTGCTTCTTACAATGGCAGTCAGTAGAAAGGATGAAACCCTTACAGTAATGGTCAGAATACCACCCCTTCCAGACAGCTAGAAAGATGATTGATATCATGCTGCTTGTTCTGACAAGTGGTGTTATCCCTGTAATAAGGCATACACAAGAAAATGGGGGTAATTTAGCCAAAGCTTAAGGAACCCCTAGCAACCTCTAAGTTGGAACCCTAGAGTACCACAGAACTGGTTGAGAATGTCTTATCTGATTAATTACCTTATTCCTCACTTTGGATGGCTCCCTCCATCAGTGTGACCGGTCCTTCGAAGCCTCTTTTAAAAGACCCTATGGGCCACAGTCACACAATGGCTCCATCAAGTACAATGCAGGGCCCTTTTTGTAATTCATGGAGTTGAGTTTTAAGATGCCCTCTATCTCAAAAACCATCACAGGTAGACCCAAATTAAAACAATAAGATCACTTGTCCCAGTAAATTCCACTAATTAAACATTATATTTGGGTGAACATCACCTTTAAAAGCAATCTAATCAAATTTCTTGTAGTTAAAAATTACATTATCATATACAGATTTGTATATGAAACATAAAAAGTACAGAAAAGAGGAACATAGGGATTTGGGTGAAAAAGGGGCAGTTGGCAAACATATCTCCATATCGCTTAGTCCTTTTAAACGTTGGCACAAACAGATTGTATATAAACACAGAGAACTGAATATGTTTTATACCAACATACAAAATAAGATTACTAAATCTGACATATTTACAATTTGCTACACATCTGCAAAATCTCTTACTCTTCTTGGTGTTTAAATTCTGCATATGAGATGAAACAGCCTACGAATGATGCTGTATGAATACAGATAACACAAGACTCTGACTTGGCGGGACTCCACAAATAATCTCCAAGCTGAACACAACTTGGATCCAAAACAATATTTTGTCTTTGTTATGATATTTTAATTATCGTCTCCTTCAACTGGGGGAGCATGTGGCACAATGTGTTGCAGGTTTCTTGAGCCGTAAAAATAGAAAGATGCCAACTCTTGGCTTCTATAAATGGCGCCACACACACCCACACATAATGTGAGATCAAGTCAGGATAAGTGCAGTTGCTTCCAGATCCTTAAAGCAGCCATTGTGCTTGTGCATGCTGCGGAGTCTTCTTAATTAGGAGAATGAAACTTTAGCCAAAGTCATTTTCTAGTAGAGAACAATGTGTAACCCATCTGATTCTCACCCCTGCATGTGTTTTCATACGTTTCCATTAATCGGCTCTTTCCTGGAAGAGTCTGGGATGTGCTCTAACTACAAAAGTCGAATAAAAGTTTCACACTGTGCCTTTGACTTTGCAATAAGTCGCTTGATACCAGCGTTTAAGAAAATCTCCTGATTAATAGAAAAATAAGATATTGTTTTAAATTAGGAACTGTTGAAATCTCTAATGACAAATGTTGCCTTTTTTTGAAGGGCTAATTTCTGATGGTATGTTAAAAAAAACAGTTATATATATATATATATATATATATATAGTATATAAGTGTAGCACCCTCTAGTGTGCTACTAGCATAGTGTAGTGTAACTATGTGAGTCTGTGATTAAGGTTGGGTTATTGCAGGCCAGCTGGATGTCTTGACAGGTTAAGGCTCTATCGCCTCTTTCTGACTCTGGAGGGCCATAGAAGCTTCCAGAAGTTGGTAAGCAGGAAGGGGGTGGAGACCTAATCTGCATGTTTATGGGAGTCTGGCCAATCCCAGGTTTAGAGACCCTGGTAGAGTGATAGACTGGCCCATAAATATGGGAGAGTCAAGCTGACAGGGGAGTCAGGTGCAAAATGGAGTTCTTAGGGTGTCTGGGAGGGATCAATTAGGTCTAGTGTAGGACAGCCTCCAGGCTGGGCTTGGGCTGGCTCAGGAGGATACATTCAGCAGTGCAGCGTGAATGGGGTCAAGACCTGGAGCAGTGGGAGCAAAGAGGACAGAGTGAGTACATCAGTATTACCTGGGATCCACAATGGGAAAAACTGCCACTAGTAGCAAGCTTTCAAAGGACAATGCTGGGCTCAGTCCTTTATCCTTATCCCGGAAGATCTTCGGAGAAGCCAGGAGGGCTGGTAGTGTGTGCAGGCTGTGGAGCTGGGAGCAGCTCTACAGGGGGAGAGAGAAGACATCTCTGCATGTAGTTACAAGAAGCTAAGATGATTTCTTCAGGGGCTGCTACTTCCTCGCCCATAAAGGGTTGTTGCTACCAATCCGCAAAGGCTGACAGCTTTCAATCAGCTATTACAGCACTATATACTGTGCCCTCTGCGCAAGTTTTTACATCCAATGCTCTGTCAGATCCTTTTCCAATTACCAATGGAACTAGACAGGGATGTCCTCTTTCTCCTATCATTTTTTCATTAGTGATGGAACCCTTCGGGACCTCAATTAGATTGAATTCCTTGATCTCTGGTATAATGACTGCACATATATCTCAGAAGATTGGTCTATTTGTGGATGATGTTATTCTTACTGTAACGGACCCCTTGACTTCCCTGACAGCAATTTCCTCCACCCTGGATATGTTCAGCATGGTTTCCTACTATAAACTCAATACTACTAAATCTTGTGCGCTTCCTATAGGTATTTCAAAGAAATTTTTACAATGCCTCCAGGATATGTTCCCGTATAGCTGGTCCTCTAAAAGTTTAGAATACTTGGGTATTTGTGTGTCCTTTCCCTCTTCCAACATGTTTATAGATAATTATGAGACATTAAAATAAACAGTGCAGCGCTAATCAATAATATATATATAAATAAATAAATAGGTAATACAATAAATAAACTCGATATACACCCCTGGGAGTATATATCCAAAATAATCAATAATAATATATTAATGTCATGCGTGTAATCCCTTATAGGGAATATCTGGTGCAAAACGTGATAAATATAATCATAAAACAATATAGTGGCAAAAAAACGTACAGTGCTCAAAATAAGTGAACCAATATTCATTTTCAAAAAAATGTCCAAACAATTGATAAAAGTAATGCAATGCTTTGTGGTAATCTTCACACTCCACTCTTCATGCAAAGAATAATGTGCAGTATGCGTGATTCACACGTGCCAATCCTTAATGGCCATATTGGAACACCCTGTTGTATTACCCATGCAGTACACCCATAGCATGTGGTAAGAAAGCTGTATTGAATCATCACGAATGTGAGTGGAACTCTATTATCTATCTGTTTATCGTTTAATAAAACTGGTTGCACTATGGAGGGTCTCTGTTTGTGTTTCATTATGACCCTGGGAGGAGCTGGCTGCTAGTCTGGTGGATGCTGGAGGTGGAAGGAGAGATCCAGAGAGGAATCCATTTTGATAGGATCGCTTGATCCTAAAGCATGCTGGCCCTGTGGGGTCTAAGTAAGGAGGTGAGGGGGCATTTTGGCCGTTAAGGATTGGCACGTGTGAATCACGCATACTGCACATTATTCTTTGCATGAAGAGTGGAGTGTGAAGATTACCATAAAGCATTGCATTACTTTTATCAATTGTTTGGACATTTTTTTGAAAATGAATATTGGTTCACTTATTTTGAGCACTGTATGTTTTTTTGCCACTATATTGTTTTATGATTATATTTATCACGTTTTGCACCAGATATTCCCTATAAGGGATTACACGCATGACATTAATATATTATTATTGATTATTTTGGATATATACTCCCAGGGGTGTATATCGAGTTTATTTATTGTATCACCTATTTATTTATTTATATATATATTATTGATTAGCGCTGCACTGTTTATTTTATTGATCATTCACTTATTTTGGGTATAAGTTTAGTGCCAGCAGCTTTCTTTAAGGCTAGGATTCCATGTAAGCGAAGGAGGTCTTTTTAAAAATTATGAGACATTGTTTCAGGCACTTTTAAAGGCAACTGGAAAAACAGAGCTCTCCTGGTTGGGTAGATTAGCAGCCTTTAAGATGTTGATCCTGCCTAAACTCTTATACTTTTTCAGAACAATTCCAATCCTCATTCCCCATTCCTACTTCAGTAAATTAGATATTGCATTTAAAAAATATATTTGGAATGGGAGGAAACCTAGAATTCCGTTATCTGCTCTCATTTAACACAAATCTAAGGGGGGTGCAGGTTTCCCTGTAATATCCACATATTACTACGTGGCATTATTGGATCAACTCCAACATTGGTTTCTTCCCTCGGAGAAGCTATGGTTACAAATAGAGTACAGTCCCGGCTCAGGACCTCCAAGCATTATTATTTGCAAAAGTTATCTCTCCGAAGTTAATACATACCTATCTTCCTTCGATCTCAGCAACCTTGGATGCCTGGCTAATGGGTCTATCTAAAGCTACTCTCGCTATCCCTAAAATAAGGCTGGACATACCATTGGCATCTTATGACTACATCATCCCCAATCTTAATACGGAGCCTTTGAGAGATGTGGGTTTTTGTAATATTTTGGATATCCCTACTCTGCACTCCAGGGGAAACCTTTATCCATACATTCAGATCCGGGCTTATCTTGGTGCCACTCTCAATGCATGGGTGGAGGTGGACTCAAAGATCTGGCAGGCTCTGACGAATCCGTTGGGACTGAAAAAGGGTATATCGTGGTTCTACAGATTCTTACAACATGATCCAAATCATTCCGTGTTAGTGTGTGTGGAAAAATGGGAAAGGGATCTGAATAGATCTTTTACTCCAGAGGATTGGCAGGCGGCTTGGTCCTGTAATATAAGTCATTCGAAGTGCACTAATCATTGGTACAGCTCCCTAAAAATCCTACACTGCAGTTATCTTACCCCATTTAAACTTTCAGAAATTTATCCTGATGCATCACCTTCATGTTGGAGGAATTGTGGTGGTATTGGAACTTTACTACATGTGCTGTGGGACTGTGGGTGTATCCAAAATTTCTGGAAAGATGTGTTTAATTTGATTTCTTGAGTGTCCAGAGTATACACGAATCCCAATTCCCATTTGGCGTTGTTAAATCTTACGTTGAATTTATTTCCAGTCCAGTCCCGAACAGTGGTCGCTCACATTCTAATTGAAGCCCGATTAACTCTTACTAAAGCATGGAAATCCACTACATCACCTCTAGTTTCGGAGGTTATCCATAGAGTACATTCTCATTACCTGTATGAAAGGTCCTATGCAAATTCAAATCATACTTTACAGGTCTTTAATACTAGATGGTTACACTGGAATGTTTTGTTCACGCTCTCTGACCTTTGATAACAATTGATATTATAAAATGTATATTGAACATAAATGCCCTCTGCTGGATCCTTTTTCTTTATGGAGTTATAGCTTCCTTGCTACTCCATCTTTTCTCTTCTTTGTCCAAGTTCTTTTGGATTGTTTTCTCACTGTATAAACCTTACTTTTTTGTGTTTAATTTGTGTTTTGCTGGGTAACAAACTGTGCATTGTCATATTTTTGGCGTATTACCAGCATACTATTTTCTAACTTTTTGTATTAATTTTGGAAATGTCATTGATACCATTCACGGTTGATTATCTGTATATGTTGACTGCCGTTTCCAGTCGGTATAACTTTGACATGTTTGTGATAGTATTTCTGTTAATGTCATGATTGTTCATTTCTTTTGTTATTATTTTTTTTAAATTCTAATAAAAATGAATTGAAAGAAAATGTTCTTAGCCTAAAAACTAATAAAGCCACCATATCTAAAGACTAGTGGGCTGTGATATAGCAAATGCTTGATTTGAGCTCAGATATGCTTGTAAGGAGGAAAGGGGGGGGGTTACTCCCTGTTAGTTGTCCTGCCTTACTGGGTGTCCCATGTCCATCTGGGGGAAGGATCACCCATGTTCCATATATAGGCAGGGAACTGGGAAGTGGGTTCCCACCAGTGGAGTAAAATAGGGGAAAAGCAGCTAGTGTGCTAAATCTAACTTCCATTCAGGGCTACCACTTTAAAGAATCCAAAACTGAATTTGAAGCCCTTTTAAAATCTTCTGCAGACAACTAGGGCTCCATCCCACTTTATTGTAGGGACATAGCAGCCATGGGGGCCACGTCTCCCCAGTGCCATGGGTGGGAGTGCCGTATGTTCTTTCGGGCTGCACATGAGTGTGAGATGGGGAAACAGCTCTCGTTGTTTGAACACTGTTTGTGTGGAAATGGAAGTAAATTAATGTTTTGACTGACATTCTGTGGTTTAGCCACAAGATGTCACTGTTTTTCTAATACAGCCTCAGACTGCATAGATATTTGTATATTCATGAAGAGGTGGGGTTTTGCACACAGAGTTGGAGAGAACAGGAAGGAGAGGGAGAAGCCATGTTTTGGAGCATGGTGAATAAGGGGCCATGTGATCTGAGAATCTGATGACATCCAGGTGTGAAAGCGTCCCTCAGTAACCAGAGCTGCAGCTGAGTGAAGCTGATGAGACTGCTGCCAGGAAGCTGATGAGATTGCTGCCAGGAATGCTGATGAGATTGCTGCCAGGAAGCTGATGAGATTGATGTCAGGAATGCTGATGAGATTGTTGCCAGGAAGGCTGATGAGAGCAAAGGAACTAAGCAACATATACGGCGAGACCACATGCTTGTTGGAGAGACATTTGTTCTGTTCAGAGTCACCAGCGGATGAAAAGCAGACCCGGGTCGGTAAGATCGTGCACACACCTCATATCTGTGTTGGCGCCTTGAGACTGAGTCCAGGCCTATAGTTAGTTAGTTAGGGTCTCTGTTTGTGTCAGGCCACAAGTGTTGTTACTGATCATTGGAAGGACTCAACAACGTAAAGTGACATTTCACATTGGAGAGCTGATAAAATCCTACAAACTCAAGCCAGACTGGCGTTTTGCTCAGAAGGAATACTCAGGCACGTGCTACAAGACCAGTTAAGGGAGAGGGAATACTGTAGATTTGTGTAAGATTGTAAGCTGTTGTGCTGCACCACAGGCTAGCCCATACCGTACACCCATACACTGATTCCTGCGCTTTTAGGGTAATAACGGGTACGGTGTGGCAGCTTAGTTGTGCCCACCAGTAGGTAAATCACTTCACTTTCTACCTTCATCCATCAGAAGGCGCCGTGCTGTGCAGCACAAGGGTCTCAGCCTTTGGGCTGGGTGCATGTAAATTTATTGTATGTTCCCAGCATTTGTGGTTGTGTTTATTTGCCACATCTAAGTAAAATTCTGTTGTGGCAAAAGCTGGTGTTGGGGTTGCTTTCCTCGTTTTGTGACTTCACTGTATCCTGGGGAGCCCACCCCGGTACACGGCTTACATGAGCAGAGTATACTCTCTCCTGTCACATAGGATAAGTTAGATGGCTGCGACATGTGCAGCCCAAAAGAACATGATGGCTCTCAATACCGTTGCACTAGGGGGTCACTGGTGTCAGCGGCTGCTCGGTATCTATAATAACTCAGGACAAAGCCATCACAGGCTGCAGAGAACTTTAAGGAGCTTCTTTTAAATGCAGTTTTGGACTAAATTATTTAAACTGAAAGTGGCTGGTAGGGAAGTTTAGCACACTATGTTGTTATACCCATATGGGACAGCATAGTGTGCTTTTTAGTAAAGGTGACCTTACACTTTGAAGGATTAGTCCACCTTTACATTAAAGCTGTACAGGTGACCTAACAGCAGATTCCCTCCCCACCCCCTTGATCCCTTCTGTACTTCCTGCAATCCTGAGTTGTCAGGGCTTCCGTAAGCTGCTCCACTTGTTCTGGGGTTTGAAATCCATGTTATGGCATTGACCAATTAGAAGTCATCTAAAGCCCATGTGACGATGCTGATCAATTAGAATCCTTCTGGTCTGTCCTGATAGCGCTGGATGGGAGAAGAGAGAAAGCAGTGGGGATTTCAAATCTCTGGACCGGAGGAGCAGCTTCTGAGAGCTCTGACAGTTCAGGATAGCGGGAGGTAAGTACAGTGGTTATTGGGGTTGGGTAGGGAGGGGGTCCAGTGTTACAGATTCTGTAAAGGTGAAATAACAATTTAAAACTGAAAACTAACAATAGAAGGCATAGGTGTGCGTAGCCTGGTGCATTAGAGTGTGCACCCCAAAGCTCAAACACACATGCATGTTTATATATATATATACAATGCACACAGCGCACACCACCAGAAGAAGGCAGGCCAGACACGATATCTGAGGCCAGGTGCATCCCCATCCTGCCCACTCAAACTTACTGGAAGCAAGGAGGAGGTAGGCTCCGCCTTTCGGCATATTCCTGCAGTCCTCCCAAGAGCCTAGAGGGCCTGGAACTGCTGGGGGAGGAGTTAGGAGAAGGAGATTCGTCTTGATAATGTGCATGTCATCCACTACAGTTAGCAACTATGGGTGATTAGGGTGTGCCCAGGCACAGCTGGCACACCCTGTGCGCACGTCTATGATAGAAGGGCTGTGTTACCTGCTAATTTAGTATTGTAAAATGAAATAAAAAACAAGAAGCGCACCAGCCTTGCGCATTACCTCAGCGACCAAAATTTATTACTTGTAAAAAACATACTCACAAACAGCGAATAAAATCAGGCATGTAAGTCCTCTCAGGGACTTGAAGATAACATGAGTCCCATCAGGGAATAGGTGTTCAGTACAGCTGACGCGTTTCGAAGGGAGTCCCTTCTTCCTCAGAGCTCTGAGGAAGAAGGGACTCCCTTCGAAACGCGTCAGCTGTACTGAACACCTATTCCCCTGATGGGACTCATGTTATCTTCAAGTCCCTGAGAGGACTTACATGCCTGATTTTATTCGCTGTTTGTGAGTATGTAATTTTTTTACAAGTAATAAATTTTGGTCGCTGAGGTAATGCGCAAGGCTGGTGCGCTTCTTGTTTTTTATTTCATTTTACAGTGCTGATTGGGCTTCCCCAGCCTTGGTTTGGAGCTGCACAGCCCTTTATGCAGTGGTGTTCGTTCTCCCCAGGCCTGGTTCCATCTTGTGCCACCTGTCTGAGTCTTGGAGCGCAGGAGAATTCTTTTTCGTTTTACCTGCTAATTTAGTCCAGGGGATGGTAAGAGCACTTTTACTTACCTGATCTTGCACTCCCCTAACAAATGCCAATCCTGCAATGGACTGTCTCTCGGCATCCTCATATCCAATGCAGGGCTATGGTCCCTGCATTGGCCTTAATGACATCAAAAGGCCTTAGACTGCTG